ATGTAGGCCCACCTACAGAAAATTCCTTACAATTTGTCATCAAAACATCAATAAGCATATAAAACTAAACTAACAAATTTATTTTACAGAATTAATATGATATAAAATAACAATATTTAATGTTTAGAATAAAAAAAGATATATGAAAACTTAGAGGGGTTAATAGTGATGGAAGGCTTGCCGATGGTGATAGCTGTTGAAATTACAAGCTAAGAAAAAAGAACATAGGCAATAGGGTGCTCACCGATCAGTTTTTTACGGTTCAATTTATGGTTTGGACTCGCCTGTATGTTTGTGGTTTGGGAAAAATGAACCCTCAACCAACTGCAGTGTAGGTTGCGATTTGTGCAGATAGGGTTCGTGGATGTGTAGGCTGTTGGGGGTGGTTTGTGGATTGGCATTTTTCTTTTAAAAATTTATTGTTGAACAACACTTAACTAGATTTGCAAAAAATTGAAGAAATTCTAATTGGAAAATAAGTATTTTAAATAAGGTAGTGTGTGATATTATTATAATGTTATTATAATGATATGAAAAAAGTAGTTGATTATTGGTGAAGAGCAATAAACAAAGGCCCAAAACAACTCTCATACTATGTGGGTGGCATTTTCAAATAGTATTAGAGCCTACAAGTTTGATAATCAGATTGAAAAAAAACACCATTATGAATCTAAGTTGTTAAAAAGTTGCAAAACAAGTGAAAAACTAGGAAATCAATAATACATTTGTTTTCTTGCAACCTGTTTGACCTAAAAAATGTCCAACATCTCTCTTGTTCGCATGGGCTAACAAGAGAGAAAGAGAGAGAGAGAGAGGGTGAGAGGGGGGCTTACTGATTTGCCAAAGGTTTGCAGCTTTGCTGCTTGTCCCCGGCCAATGATTTTCAGTGCATTGATTCGCCGATTGTAGGTTGCCGATTGATCAACACACACACACACACACACAGAGATGAAAAAGGACGACAAGAGGTTGCTGTTGCTGAGTGAGTGAGAGAAGAGAAAATTAGGGTCACAAAACTTACAAGCAAAAAAATCTAAGCTAATCTGACGGTCTAGATTTAAAAAATACATATATACAGATGCAGACGAGTGAGTATGGGTGCGGATGCGGGTAAAACCCATGACTTGCCCGCAACCCACAAAATAGGAAAATCCTAACCCTCATCCGACCCTAACGATTCTGCGAAATAGCCCAAACATGTGCGGGTGGTTTGGGTAGGGCGGTTTTCATAGGTCGAATAACCCTATACCTAGCCCCAACAAGGAAGAGAAAAGCGAAAAGAGAAAAGAACGAGTGTCTTGTTTGGTTTGGTTTTTTAAAAATTATTTTTAGATAAATTTTTATTTAGTTTAATGATTTTTTTTTCATTATTTCGTCCTTCTTTTGTTGTATTTTTTAGATGTACATAATTAAAATATATCTTAAAAAAAATTAAAAAAAAAAACTTAAATGTTAAAAAATAACTAAACAAAAATTCAAACAAAAATCTATATGTATTTTTATTTGGGCTTTCATTTATTTTTAGTGATTTTTTTTTTCAAATTTTAGTTAATTTTTAAATTTTTTTATATATATCAAATTTTGATGTATCTAAATAAAAAAATAACTAAAATATAAAAAGAAATTCAATAAAGACAAACAAAGACCCGTCTAAAAACAGTTTCTCAAAACTGAAACCAAAAAGAAAAATTCATAAAAAATGAAGAACATTTTTATAATTAGTTTAGAAGTTTAAATTGTGTATGTAAGGGTCCAAGAATGTCGCCAGAAATTTTGAATGTCCACTAAAAAATTCGAAGGCTCGTCGGAAAATTGGAAGACCTATCGAAAAACCAGAATTATCTAGAAATGATGAGAGAGGCTTAGATTCCTTAATGGTTGCAACTAGAAACATAATAGTGATGGGATGATGGAAAGAAAATGTTGGATGAAGAAGAGGGCAAAGAGTTAGAGAGAGATAATCATGGCAAATTCACATAGATTACACTTTCATTCTTAAGAAAGGAAGATGAGAACTCCCTAGGTTCTCTGTCTCTCTCTCTAAATCTTTCTCCTTAAAACTATGGGGAATGCTCTATATATAGGCAACTCAAATGGTAAGAGTTCTATATGTAAGGCACATGAGAGAATATTCTCTTTAACTATTTTATCCGAGGAGGTGACCTCTCTGAGGCTGTTGGGCCAGGGCCGCACGTGCGGAATTCAAGGGTTTGCTTGGCTTGTATACTGCAATATATGCATGTGCGGAGCTAGGTGCGCACGTGGAGGGCTGCACGTGTGGGGATGGGAGCCGCACGTGCAAGAGAGACGCTCCGCACGTGCGGGGATGGGCGCCGCATGTGCGGTCGGCCTGAGTCCAAAAATCTGTATTTTTTGTATCATTTTGGCCGAGTTGTATCTCATTCTAGGGCTTCTCACTCTCACTCTAAAGACCATATTTCCTCATTCTTCTCTCTAGAAACCCTCATCAAAACCCTAAAACTCTTTAATTCTTGTAATCTATTGGGTTCAAATTCATCATCATTCCTCTCAAGGCTTTGGAGATCTAAGCTAGAGTTCTTCTTGGGATAGTGGAAGAGTGAAGGATCTTCCATTAAAGCTAGGGTTTCATCATCTTTTTCATCAAGCTTGAGGTAGGGATTTCTTGAGTTATATATACATGTTTTGCTTTGTTGTTGTTAATTTAAAAGCTCTCTTGAAGTTATTGTGATAATTGGGTTTTTCTCCAAATGTAAAGAAAGTTTTAAGGAGATGGGTTTTGATCTCACTCCTCCTTCTAGCTATGAGGTTGTTCTTCTAGAAACACATAAGAAAATATGATTTTGTTGGGTTTCATCATGAAATGAGAGACGTTTGGTTTTGTTGAAAAACCCTAGAAATTAGGGATTTTGGAAAATGATATGGGAACATCCATGGAATTCTTCCTCCTTTGATTTAAAATGACAAATTGATGTAGAAATTATAAGGGGGTTTGTATGAATGAAAATCCTATTGATGTGTCAATAATGAAGGACTTGTTTTAGAAAATTATTGTTGGATACATGATGATGTATGATTGTGAAATGACAATATGTTGTGCACTATGGCATAGTGAAAATTATAAACATTGAGAAGTTGAGCTTGAAAACATTACATGTCAACTAGAAGAGGCTATCTTGATGAAAGTTGGGCATGATGAGAATTGATTGTTACTATGAGTTGATAGCATGGTTACCTTGTGAAATTGATATTGTTGTAGAGATAATTGGAAATAGAGTAGTATTATGAAGTATGGGAAAGATCATTGCATTGCACACCCTTTCATTATTAATTATGCATTTTAAATTCTAGATTGAAGACATTTATTTTTTTTGAAAGGGAATGATATTGTAATGATAACCATGGAAATGTGAATGGGGTAAATACATGGTAAGTCTGGATAGGGGGTGTAGTTGAAATTGATAAGTTGGTTTGAGTGTCCATGATGAAAGACTAGAAAACCGCACGGATAGGTGTCGAGCCTTCCGGTTAACACCGGTAAAAATGATGATTAGATAGTACTTGTAAAGTCTACTTGCAGATACCAGTCTAGGGATTACCAGTGTCGTATTTATCGCCCCTATTAATTAAGAATTGGAAGTTTTGAAATAAATTGAGATTGTAAATTTCATTGAAAGATGATAATCTTCAAAAGTGCATAAAACAGATTTGTTTTAGAGGATGCATAGCTTGGCATTGGCATTTACATTTTAATTGAAATCGCATAACTGTATAGACTTTGTAAGAATTCTTTACTGGGCTTTGTGCTCACCCCTATGGGATTTGATGCAGGTAAAGATGTGGCGATCCCGTTGAACTGAGGGCGTGGATATTTTGAGAAGAGTAAATGGTTCTTTTATTTTGTTGTAATTCTTTTGTAAGCCAAGGGCTAAGGTGTATGGGTCCGAGAGACCATTTTGTGTAACTGGGCTTTTGCCTTGGAAGATGTAAGCCCTTAAGGGCGTTTTGTTGTTTTCGAGATTAGGTGCTTCACATGCTATAGATTCATGTGTTCTTTTGTCATTGAATGTATATCGCATGTGAAACTTTTATATAAACTCTTTATTAATATGTCAAGAGGGAAGAATTGCGGTCATTGTTTGATGAATGTTAGTTAATGGGGTTATCTCATGTTAAATTATTTCGGGGCGTTACACTTCCCAACCATCCCAAAGGGTTAGGGTAGTCTGAAAGGACCCCCAGCCGCAGATGTTGCTAAGTCTTATGAACCCTTTGAGGTCGTGCCACCTTGACCCAGGTATAGGTTGGTTAAATGTTTCAGATATCTAGGTTTGCTCAAAACTCTTTCAAGTCTGAGCTCAAATATGTCTCTAGGTTTGTGGATCCGAACCCTTTTGAGATTAGAGCAATTCAACCAATTCGATGATGATATCTCCAGGCCCACTAATTTTGGGCTTTCAGACTAGGCTTCGATTGGATTTAATTAATTAGATGAGTTTAAGTTAACCCCTCTTACAAATTGTAATTAAGAAAGTTTATCAACTAATTTACAATAATTTTTATCTACATTATCTTTAATTTTCTTTTAAAATAATATTTCCTTCGTCCCAAAATATTAGTCCGTTATTACATTTTTCATTATCCCAAAACATTAGTCCATTTTTAAAAATTAACTAATAAAATAATATGAATTTATTATTTTGTTCTGATTTCAATTCTATGTTGAAGGAAAAGGTTATTATTGTTTGGCAGATTTAAATTTTCAATCTTGAAACAACATAGGGTCATTTTAGCTGGACTTAACGTTTGCAAGGTCTTTGGGTTTAGTCAAATTGTTTGGATTTGAATCTTTAGATCTATTTTTGGTAAATTCTTGTTGTACCCTCTAAATGTAAATATAGTTAAGACTAGTTAGACTTTGGCGGGTCAATTCACTCTTGTGATGATTGGTGACAAAACTGAGGACAAGAAGTCTTCCTACTGTTTTACTACAGAATTGTCTATTTTTAGATTTCATCTGGAATATACCTTTTTTATTTTGTATGTCTTCATTCAATGTTTCCATTTCCTTATTTTACTGATTGCCACAGCAGGTAGAACTTCCCATTAAATCACCGGTATCAGCTTTTGAATTCTTGGGCCATAAGAACATTGACTTCGTATGCATTTGTGTTTTTGTGAATCCACTGTCCTTTGAGGTCTGTTGTGAGTGCATAAGTTTGTGGGTATAGATATGGCTGTGGCGTTTACGCGTCGCTCTTGGTGGTTGTGGAGTGGAAAGCATCAAGAGCCTAAAATCTCGAACGGGTCTTCTTTAAATTCTGCATCTGATTTGGGTTTGTGGGAATCAGATTCTGTGAAATTCCCTTTGGTTAATGGAGGCAATATGGGTTCCTCGTCTAGAAGGGTTAAGCGAAAATGGCAAAGTCGGGAAGAAAGAAAAATTGACCATGAATATGATGTGGTTGTGGTGCCATCAGATGGTGGTTGTGTTTCTGGGTCCGAGTCTGATGATTCGGATTGGTCAGTTGGATGGTTGGAGCCTTATGGCCCTGGGTTCGATAGTGACAATGATTCAGATGATAGTTTTGCTGTGTTGGTTCCTTGCTATGGTCGTGGGCGTGAGGAAAATTTTAAGGACAAGTTTCTAGACACTATTGGAAATGTCCCAGATATGTATGCTGCTGGTAAGGGTCACTTTCTTCGAGCTTTTTTCATATTGTGTTTATTTGTTTGTACAAGTTTCATTGTCCTTTTTCTTTTCCCCCGTCCTTTTTTTTCTGCTGTCAATATGATAATCCACTTTCGGATTTATTCCTTGTTTGAGTGTGATATGTTGATACCGTGGTCCAAATAGCTAAAAATACATATTGTATACTATGAGTGATAGCTTTGTGGCAAATAAGCATATTAGGAAGGTCGAATTCTGTTCTAGATGAAGCTTTGGTACATAATCAAATGCAGCATGCATAATCTTTAGGCTTGAAATCTGTGTCGGACAGAATTTTGAATGCAAATTTGAATCATCACATGCTAACGAAGCAGAAACTATGTTTAAATGAGGTGTACTACAACCGCTCTGAGGATTGGTGAATTGAGTTAATGAAACTTTGATTTTCTATTTGCCGTGTTGATGATTTCAAACATGTATTTAGAAAAAAATGCTTTATATGTAATTGAAAAAACTAGATATAGGAGATGTGTTCATATGTCAAAGACCTATATTTGCTTTCTAAAGTGTCAAAGACCTAAGTTGCTTTCTAAAAATGTCAAAGACTTTTGTTACACCGACATGGAATTTCTTAAGAGAGAGTGTGGACCTATGATACCAGAAAACACTAATATTTTAGCGAATTATGTATTGGTATGCACATTCTGAAATATGGTACACTTTCGTTTTAAAACAGCAAATTTGGTGATTTGAAACGATCTCAAAAGTTTTTTTCATTATATTTTCTTAAATGTTATCTTAGGAGAAAAAAAAAATTCAAATATATGAACTAAAATTTAAGGTGAGTTAACTTTTGACAAGACAAAAATATAAAAAATGGGTCATAATTTTTAGAAAAATGATACATTCAAAAAAAAAAATTATTTGATACCTAATAGTTAAAAGAAAATTACTCTACGAGTACCTTAAATTCTTAAGTGTAATATATATAAGTCTATTCCTATCGTACCACATTTAGAGTATGTGGTATACCACGTTCCTATTCCCGTGCTATGTACCGAAACGATCCACGTTCTAGGTAACATAAGTGTGGACACCTGGGGAGGATATTTGGTTGGTCTCTGGAGAGGATATTTTGGTTTTCTGCGTGTTGAATCTGTTGATTGGTTCCAAGTTTAGTACTGGGCTTTGTGGACCCTCCAAACTGTCGAATCCTTATCCCCTGCAAGTTTCTATGCTTTTGTGCTTGTCTCGAGGACTTTTGATTGGTTTGAATTCTTAAACAAACTGACTAAATGCTCAAAGCTGTGCCTGGAAAAACAGTTTGATTAGTTTGCATGTTAAATTGTAAAATTGCAAGTTCTGCTTTTTTTTTTTTTTTTTCCTTCTTTCTTTCTTTTCTTTCCAAAATGTTCTGCTGCATATTACATGAAAATTGAAACTATATACTTTTAGGTAGTTGTGACATTTTACTGGTTTTTCAAAGAAATAGTTTCTGATTTTTTTGGATTATCACAAGTACTTGCATATTTTCATCACTTGGCCATTGCTACTTTGACCATTGCATCTAGCTGCCTTTAACTGTTAATTAGAACCTTCCTCGTCGAACCTACATTTCATTGATTTTATCGTTGACCGTCAAATCTGATTCTGATAAAATATAAAAAAAATTGTGGATTTCATTAGATTAAATTGAACAGATGGGACTCATCTAGGACCCAATGTTAGAATTTATGCATTGAATGTTTTCTGGCCGTAAATGCATGTGTTATAGAACAAGCATATCATGCTCGCGTTTTCTTTCTCATTGTTTCTATAATTCATAATCCATTGTTTCTCTGTTTTTCTTTACCCGTGCAGAGAACAAGTACACGGAACAATGGCTCTCCTCTCTCAGGAGCAGCTGACATTCCATGAATGGCTCTCCTATCTTCGTCATGCCATTCCGGCTTCTTCTTCGCCTTCTGTATGGACTTCCTACTATTATAACCAACCCGGGAAAAAAATTCAAAAAAGAAAGAAGAGAAGAAACCAAAACTATAGCTCAAGGAAAAGAGGCAAAAAAAAATAAACTAAAAAAACCCGGCTTTATTGGAATCTTGCTAGTAGCATAGGATTGGCTTATGTTGGGGTTTGAACTGATACTAGTTTATGAGGCAGAGAGGTTAGTAGCGGATCGTATGATTCTCTATTTCTTTGGTACAGAGTTGACCCGGAAAGAACCAAAGAGTGGCTTGTCGTCTGCTTGCTGAGCAAGGATGGACGGTCTTGATGTGAATTTTGTGGAATAAAAATGGAACCAAAAACAAAATAAAATGAAAGAAGAAGGAAAGTGTGTTGTGTTCTGTGAATGGATATTCTTTGATGTAACTATTATTCACTGTGAATGGATTTGACTCCCTGAGCAAAAAGATACCAAAAAAAAATTAAAATTAAAAGATTGTATTGATGTAAATATTTAGAATATAGTATGTATTGCTGTAAATTGTTGGAATTTTTTTTTGTTTGTTTTGATATACAGTTGGAATAAAAATATGTTTTGATTATTTAGTAAAGTTAAAATCACAAACTTCTCTCTCTCATACACAAAATAAAAACTATGCATAGAGGTTATAAAGTAATGTTTTGAAAATTGGACCGGTGAGCGAATCGAAAAAGTAGCTAGGTGAATGGGTCACTGGTTCAACCGCGGGTGAACTGGCATTAAATCGTGATGTCATAATTATGTCATAAATATATTAAAATTTATAAGTATAAAAAAATATAGATATTAAAGTTACAAAAATTAATAAATAATAAATATTTACAAAAAAGAAATATTTCTTAAAATTTATTTTACGTTTGTTACACATTGATTTTTAGTAAAAATAATTAAGATAATATTGAATATATCATATATATATTTATTACATTGTCAACAATTGTATTGATGGCTTAATGGTTTGAGTGCTTGCTTTTTAATGCACATGATTCCATGTTCAAGCCCTCTCCCAGCATATTTTTGGAAGAAATTTCAATTCTATAAACCCAACCAGTTCTTGTGTTGACCAGTTTACCTATTCCAGTTGAATTAGCTGTTCTTTCAATTTTATTCTAAAAGTCAATTTTGAATTCTATAAACCCAACCAGTTCTTGTGTTGACCAGTTTACCTATTCCAGTTGAATTAGTTGTTCTTTCAATTTTATTCTAAAAGTCAATTTTGAGGATAGTTCAAGTTTGGAGAGTCATTCAGACTGAAACTCGGTCTGGTCATCGATTTGACCGGTTCGATCTAAGTTTGAAAACATTGTTATAAACAATGTCATCATTGTCTTAACCCTTCTTCAAAGATGGAAAAAATCTAAGAAGTTGACCGACTAGTCCGATATGAGTTTAAAAACATTGTTATAAACAATATCATTATTGCCTTACCCCTTCTTCAAAGATGGAAAAAAATCTAAGAAGTTGACCGACCGGTCCGATATGAGTTTGAAAACATTGTTATAAACAATATCATTATTGCCTTACCCCTTCTTCATCGATGGAAAAAATCTAGGAAGTTGTTATATGGTAGGAGTTTAGGTTGCCTTTGAATCTTAAATTTCTGAACGAATTTAAGTGGAAAAAAAAGAAGAGAAAAATTAAGTTTTTACTTCATCTCTCTTCTTTGTTTTTGTTTTATATTTTGTTCTCTCCATTCATAATCTAAAAACAGTTTTAAGAGATGTTGAAAGAGAAGGCAAAAGATAAAAAGATAAGAGGGTGTTTGGGAAGAATGTTGGGTTAATATAATTTACAAAAAGATAAGATAGGCTAAAATAACTAATAAAATAAAATATCACATTTAATCCATAATCATTTCACTTTTTCTTTCATAACCATTAAATTAATTACAAAAACAAAGTCAACCAACTTTTCAAACATAACTATTTTAATCAGATTAAAATAATTAAGGAATTAAGCAACCAATTAAAATAGCAAAATTTCTAAATAAAGCCAAAATCGATTAGGGGTGATTCTACTTACACCACTACTTCACCTCTTTACCGACTCCATACGAAATTTTTTTTTTCTTCTTCCAGTTTTATCCATGTGTGAAATTACTTTTAAAAACAAAATACTCAAATTAAATATATTTTATTATCTCCTTACACCCCTTAGTCTTCAATTCCTACTCTTCTTTTTACTTTCTCAAATTTTCTTTTCTCTTACACATCTCTTTTCAAAAAGTGAGAATCATAGTGTTTTGATCATCAAAGAAAGCAATGGATGAAGAAATTGTGGTGAAGAACCATCAAAAAAGTGAAATTGTAAGTTTTTTATTTGTTTGGTAGGTTTTTGTTTCGTTTTTCTAGACTGTTCTTCGACTTTTATTCAGTGTTTCGAAATCGAACAAAATAAAATAATCCGACATCACATTGCCGAACAAAAAATATAAGTCTGGTAGCCTAATGTCGAATAAAAGATATATTTCCAGTAACATAAGGCCGAATTTTTTAAATTTGTTCGGCTACTAATGATCATGTATTTTCAGTTTTATTTTTTTTATATTTTATATTTCTTTACTTGGAAGGATTATACTTTAACTTATTGCAACAACGCAAGTATTACATTATTAGTAGACTCCAGTCACGAATTCATTACGATGAGATTTGTTAAGTGTTTTTATGAATACAATTTTTTCTTATTTTTAATTTGTATTAAGTTTTATTAATAATTTGACGTATAAATGTATTGATCAAGATTTTCAAAATTTTGATGAAAACGATGAGGAAGGAATTCCTCTGATTTTGAAAATTTTGATTAATTGAGAGGAGGAGAGGTTTTTCATATTTATTTGCGAAAAGAGTTTGATTTTGCCACCTCAAGTGGGCTTAAAGTTTGCGAATTTGCCACTAAATATAGTGGGCTTAAAATTGATTTGCCACTCAACAAAGTGGGCTTAAAACATACATTCGTTGAATCGTTCTAATTCAAACAATAAGCCTTCATCCAAGGGAATTCAAGCAGTTATAGCAAGTAAGCCTTTAGCCTTATGGCAAGCATACTAGACATGACAACATTCACACTCATGCAAAGATGCTAAAACACTAAAAACTCACCTAGTACTCCAAGCTAAGAAGATATGAGTTAGAAAAATATGCATGATTCCTAACTATGCAAGATGAGTAATGCAACACACACAAAGAATGCAATTAATAGGCTCGGCTATTAATATGGCATATGAATTGATTTGATAACATGCAATCTAAGCACGTATTCAAAGAAGTAATGAAATGACAATGCAATTTGAATTAATCGCTGAGTTTCGTGCATGCAATACAAATGAATGGATGCAAGCATAAAGCATAAGATATGCTAATTGAAATATGTCCTTAATCTAACCATCAAAAGCGGGTAAATAAAAGGGAGAAAGATGTGAGGTTGGAAAACATATACATTATTGCATTACGCTCTCACGAAGAAGAGTCTGAATGAATAGAGTTAACTAACTAATTAAGCTAAGCTAAGCTAAGCTAATTAGGCTAATTATTACAACATTTGAAATGAATAATTAACTAACTATTACAACACTTGAAATGAATAATTACCTAACCATCTAAGCTAATTAATTAAGAATTTAACTAGGCTAAGCTAATTAAATACTACAACACCGAATAATTAGCTACAACTAATTAAACTAATTAAATATTATAATTCAATTCATTATGCTAATGAAACAATTAAACGATCAAACGCATTCGGTATGAGCACTAAGGAAGATGGATGGAGGTTGCATGCGCATCGCTTGAAAGCTACTCTGTTTGCCTAAGCCATCTCTGTTTTACCTTCAGCCACTGCCTCTGTTTTTGCAAAATTGCATTGATGGCCACACACCAAGGGCCGACCGTGCATTATTGATGGCCGGTCGAGCCTACAGAGGGTCGGTCGTGCATTGATTTGGTTTGTGGTCTGAGGTGAAATTAGTGTAGATAGAGCATTTTCAAGCTCTGTTTATCCTTCATTCCTTCTCTGTTATAGGAAAGCCTCAAGAGAAAGTTGGGATTGACTCCAAAATCATCAACGAGCGATATGATCACTTGATGATCTCGGATATCATTTTGGACCGAAAATCAATGAATGTAATGCAAATGGACTACCCCTCCCTTTTTGTCATGGAATGAACTCAAAAAAGGAAGTTGAGACGCTTCAAGGACATCAAAAACACCATAAATTGATGCTTGATGACCCTTGACACAAGAAACTTGGCATAACGTCTGGCCAAGTTCAAGCTATTAAGTCGTTTTCTTTTACTTTGTTAAACCAAGTTTTAAGCCAATTGTTTTAGTCATTGCCATTCATTAGTCCATTTGTCTATGGTGATATTAAAGTCCTCTAAACAAGAAGTGATGTTAAATAAGAGGTCCTTCTAAAATATGAGAAGGAGACTGCATCATTGACGATGAATCTCCAAAGAGATTAAGCCATTAAGTGTAGGTCTCCTTTACTTGCATTGAACAACCTCAATTGGTTGAAACCATTCTCAGGAATGAAAGATATGAAATGATTGATTGATTAATAAACTTAGGCTTCAAACATGGAAAATGAACAAAGAAAGCATATTAAACAAGATGTATGTCAACTTATGAGACCACAAGTGCATTAAACAAGGCATGAACCAATTGAAATGACCTAGAGAACCTCAAAACAGCCCTAAATGCATGAAAATCAGAGGTAAAACATGTATGAAAAAAGGTTAAAAAGCTAGACAATAAAGATGAGAATTAAGGCTAGTAAACAAGAATAAGGAGGGGTGGCTAACCCCTCTACTTTTGAAGCTTTAAAACATGGTTTTTAACCTTTCAAAACCTCTGAAAATCAGTGTAGATACCAAAGGAAATGAGTGAAAATGAGAAGGTTTGAGTTATAAGTAAAGGTATAGAAAGAGCAAGCTCTCTCTACTCTTTTGGTAGCTCTTCAAACTCAACTCCAATCACTTTAAAAAAGCTCAAAACAATCCAAAACAGCAAGAAGTATGAAGTAAATGATAGAAATGAAGGCAAGAGAAAAGAAGACAAGCTTATACCTTTCAAGAAGTAAGCTTGTTATGGATGCTTCGAACTTAGTTTCAATGCATTCTCAAACTTGAATTACATTTCTCCAAGATTAACCAAGGCTTTAGGATGGTAAGACAAGGTTGTATATGGTGTATATAGGTGGTGTAAGCAAGCTAGGTTAGCTCAAAGATGCCTTGCAATGGAAGAAGGAGGAGTCAAGGGCTCTCAAGGTGTATATATCACTTCTAGAATTTTGTTCAACCCTCAAAACAATCCCAGAGCTTCGGTTTTGTAGAATTCGAGCTCAAAAGGTGATAAATATCTTCAAAAATGGACAGCTGGCGGCCTCCTGCCCAGAACAGTGTTTATCACCATTGAA